AATGATTTTAGCAAATGGCTGCAATATAACAAAGAGTGAAAAATTTAAGGGGGTCTGAATACTTTCCGTACCCACTGTATATAGATAGATAGATAGACAGACAGACAGACATACAGACAAACAGACAGAGAGATTGACAGACAGACAGACAGACAGAGAGATAGATTGACAGACAGACAGACAAACATATAGATAGATAGATAGACAGACAGGCAGGCAGGCAGGCAGGCAGACAGACAGACAGACAGACAGACAGACAGATAGATAGACAGACAGACAGACAGATAGATTGACAGAGAGATAGACAGACAGACAGACAGATAGATAGACAGACAGACAGACAGATAGATTGACAGAGAGATAGACAGACAGACAGACAGATAGATAGACAGACAGACAGACAGATAGATTGACAGAGAGATAGACAGACAGACAGACAGATAGATAGACAGACAGACAGACAGATAGATAGATAGATAGATAGATAGATAGATAGATAGATAGATAGATGTATGATCATTTGCAATATTCTTTGGGCAAATATGTTTTTAGATTTATATATATAAAGTAAACTGTATATTTTTGTTCCTGGTTATCCTCACATCCCTCTATCACTTCACACATGTTGAGTTTTATTTAGCCGACTGTACATTATCCCTAAATTAAATTTGCTTTGAATGTGACTCTATGATATAGTACAGTAGTTCTGAATGAGGAGAGTGGTTTTGTAGTGGATTTGAACTAGCTTCCGTACTGCCACCAAGTGGTATTGAGCTGTAAACGTGTTCTTTCAGACAATAATGATTCTGCAGAAATATGAACAGAAGTGTGTATTTGTGTGTGATATGCAGGTATTGAGTTGACCAGTGAGAAGGAGGTGGATCTGGCCACTCAAGTTCAGGAGCTGTTGGAGTTTCTTAATGAGAAACAGCATGAGCTGGACGTGAGCGCTGAACACACACAGAAACACTTGGAGCAGTGTGTGCAGCTGCGCCACCTACAGGCTGAGGTTAAACAGGTAACACACACTGAATAATCAACATCCAGATTGACACTCATAAACTTTAGAAATTAGACAGAAGTCATACGCAGCCAGCAACTTCAATAGCAGCTCACTATACACGTTCTCCAGCATCTGCTTATCCATCTCAAGGCCAAAAGTCAAACTTTATCAATGAAAAACGCTTCCAGCTGTTTGGCTACTCAAAGTTATATTTATTGTTGTGTTTTCTTCATATTCTTAGTGCAGTCTTGGGATAAAAATCAAGCAGTTGTTCAGAGCCACAGCTGAAATGATTCCCCAAAGATATATTCCATTTAGCATACTGTCCATAATATATACCGTAGCAGTGTTTCCCAGCCTTGATTGCTAGTGACTCCAAGACCTGAAATGTGTGTCTTAGATAAGAGAGACATTCTGAATGTGAAATTTTGCTGGTGCTCCAGCTCCAGGGTTGGGAAACACAATTTTAGAGTAGGCTATACAGAGTGCTGCTCAATGCAATGACCATTATGTATTTTTATTGCATTTATTATTATTATGATTATTATTTTGAGGTTTTTGCTATTTTGTTGTTTTCGTCCATAACTTGTCTTCTTTCAGACTAGTGGAAGGAATACATCCACAATACACATTTATGTGTTTATTTGATTACACTTTGGCTATTTGTGTTTTTGGATTTCAATTACAGTACATATCTTTAAAAGCCTGTTTAATTTTTCCCCTCATGCAGTGAGACAGAAATCTCCATTTTAGTAACACTCACCAAACGTTTTGTTGTTGTTGTTAATATATCATTTGGCTGATTTATGTCACCTGTCATTTTATTCCTAAAAATAAAATGTGTGTGTATCACTTCTGAGTGATATAAAGAGACCTTCGACATTTCGGTAATGATTACTTATGCTCACCAATCCTACATTTATTTGATAAAAAAGTAAGTACTGTAAAAAGAAATATTTAGCATCTAAATAACTGTTTTCTATTTTAATATATTTAAAAATTTAATTTATTCCAATGATGGGAATGCTGAATTAATACTCAGTTGTTAATGGATTTATTGATTGATTGATTGATTGATTGATTGATTGATTGCAATTATGATACTTTTTTCAGGATTATTTAATGAATAGAAAGTTCAAAAGAACAGCATTTATTCATAATTTATTTTTGTAAATAGTCATTTAAAGTAACAATGTAAAAGTCTTTACTGTCACTTTTAATCAGTTTAATCTGCCCCTTGCTTAATAAATAAATGCATACTGTACATATATACATGCATAATCAGTCGTACTGACCCCAGACTTTTGGAAAGTAGTGTATGTGTGTTTTCCCTTTACCCATAATGCCACAGCTCTTTAAAGAGGACTCACACTCACTGATCCATTTATCAAAAATAACTAAACATTGGTTGTCTGAGGTTGCTCCTCTGCTATCTCACGCTCTTGATGTATCACAGTGCTGGGCTCTCGTGTGACTCTCTGTTGGCTCTGTCACTGGCGGTTCCTCTGATTGATCATCAACAGAGAGACATTCAGTGTGGCTCTCAGAGCTAGTCTCAATCAGAGGGCCAAAGTGCTGTCGCCAGGGACAGCCTTAAAGTGTCTGCCACTACACAAGCGCTAATGGAGAGAAATGAGCAGAGAGAGTTATGAATTCTGCTCAGGCTCCTCGGGATATCAGTCCGCACTGAGAGTGACATATTCAGATCAGACTAACAGCTATGTCAGTGCAGACGATTCAATCTAACTTCACCCAACACTAATTTCTGAGTGCACTTGAAGGTAGATAGATAGATAGATAGATAGATAGATAGATAGATAGATAGATAGATAGATAGATAGATAGATAGATAGATAGATAGATAGATAGATAGATCGATCATATTTATATTGTGTGCTGTGTTTCAGTGCTAAAGTTGTATGTGTTGTGTCATGTGTTAGGTTCTGGGTTGGATTCGTAATGGTGAGTCTATGTTGGATGCCAGTATGGTGAACGCAAGTTCACTGTCAGAGGCCGAACAACTACAGAGAGAACATGAACAGTTCCAACTCGCGATAGAGGTAAACATACACACACACACACACACACACACACAGGCTCTATCCCCCACTGTCTCCGTTTCTGTCTTTTTACATGCTGAACATTTTTGTACAACTTTTATCTGTTAGACATCTATAGTAAAAGTACTGCAGCCCTGACCTTTACATAGATGAGTAAAGTCCATTCCCCCATCTTTCTCTCTCTTTTTCTTTCTTTCAATCTCTCTTGTTCTTTTTTAAAGGTCATATAAAGGAAAAAGAAAAACAGGAGTAGTTTGATGTGCTGTGTAGACATACTCAAAAATGCACAAAAAATCCCTCGCCTGTCCAAAAAGATCGTCTATGGAGTCTAAAATGTTCAGAAATCACATTCACATTTACATATCAGCATCTATCAACATCAAATGTGTCTGCATTTTAGTCAAAAACCTTCCTTCTCTGTGCTCTCAGCATACAGTTTAACACTGAGGGATGTATGGAAGTGATTACTCTGAGGATATTCCAAACAGATCCAGCAGGGATTGTCTATTCATAAAATTTCACACAGGGATCATAACATTCTCCTGAAGGATTTATGACCCACAGACAGTCTAGAGCCGCTCCGCTGTTTTTACTGCAATTCACGGCTTTTTCTTTTGAGAGTGCTGTGAAAAGTTGGTGATATAAGGGCAGATTCTGGCAGACAATATTCACTCTCAACCGTTTTAGTGTTAAGATTTTTTCAAGCAAAGCAAAGGAATGACTCGTGCTTTCTGCTATCAGTCTGTGTCTCTCAGTACAGTAGTCATGTCATTCATCACAGGCCTTGGCAACGGTCTCTATTTCCTGCTTTGGACGAGGTTCTACCTGCGCAACTCCGCTAGTAAATGTCTATAGCTGACTATTAAAGTTAGATTTATATTTTCCTTTATCATGACAATGCCAGCAGACAAAACACAGGCCGGCGTTTGACTGTAAAAAACCTAAAGCTGTCAGCGGTCTGTAGTAGGAGGGCCGCTGGACGATGTCCCATACAAGATGCTCAAATGATTTACTCTAATAGTTGTTTACTTTTAATTATCTGTCTCCTTTAATTCTTGTGATTTAAGAGTTTATTACATTTTATTTAAATTTGTCCAAATGAAGTTCTTAGCAATGCATATTACTAATCAAAAATTAAGTTTTAATATATTTACAGTAGAAAATTTACAAAATATCTTCATGGAACATGATCTTTACTTAATATCCTAATGATTTTTGGCATAAAAAAAATCTATAATTTTGACCCATACGATGTATTTTTGGCTATTGCTACAAATATACCCCAGCGACTTAAGGTTTTGTGCTCCAGGGTCACATATTTGCTGCCTTAAAATGGTCTGGAAATAAAAAAAAAAAACAATCACACACAGAATTACTAGAGACAACAGCAATAATCAAAAGATTATAATAAAAACATGTATTGTTAAGCAAGAACACATTGAAAAAATACAAGACAAATTGCATTTATTTGGGTGAATACAGCATCATTTATAATATTACATACATTTAAACTCGTTCAACAAGCATTTTAGAAACATGAAATGTAACATTTAAAAGTAGCATTTTAATTTAAGTGTATTCAACCGTTCTCTGTAATCACTTTACAGTTTGCTGGGGAACTGTGAACTTTAGACACGGCCTCACATTTCACTCGTAGTTGAGAGATGCCATGACTGACTCCAAAACCTGCCCATAAACAAACAGTACTGAGATTAGAGAACATATTTTAACGTCAAAATTAATAAAATACATTTATGTTATGCAAGGCAAAATACGTTTTCATCGTGCGAAGCGACCACTGCTGACACACTGACATCTCGTTCCTTATGTTGCGTTGCGTAAAATAATATAATATACAGCACAGTAAAGACTTAATAAACAAAATAAAATTTATACAAACCTTTATTTCGCTGAAGAAGTGCACCAAATTGGTGGCGCTGAGAACCGCTCTCTCCTAGGACTCAAAAAGCCCGTAATCTGACTGTAACTCAGCAGCTGGGTTGTTTCGTCGGAGACAGGCTCAACCCAGCGGTTGGCTAGAAAGAAATAACCCAGCGTTAAAAATTACCCAGCAACTTAGTTACAGAAAAACTACCCAGCACATGGGTAAAAATATAAAAAATAACCCAATAAAATGACCCAACTGGCTGAACCCAGCATTTGGGTTAAAAAAAAATAACCCAGCATTTTTATAAAATTTAAACATTTAACCCAAGCGCTGGGTCAAAACAACCCAATAACTGGATCTGCCCTTTTTTAACCCAGCACTGGGTTATATTTAACCCAGCGTTTTTTAAAGTACGGGTTAAATATGGACAAACCCAGCAATTGGGTTGTTTTCAACCAACAGTTGGGTTAAATGTTTAACCCAAACGTTGGGTCAAAACAACCCAATCACTGGGTTTGTCCATATTTTACCCAGCACTGGGTTGTATTTAACCCAGCATTTTTTTAGAGTGTACAAATGCTTTATCTGAATGTATGCAGAAATGCTTCATTACGGTCCACCACTGTATGATAGTGGCTTGGTTAGTGCCATAGTTACTGTTTGTTGATTTTGCTGTCGACCTCCAGGCTAAGGTATATTTAACTTGCTGTTCTCTCTCTCTCTTTTCTCCCTGTAGTCTTTGTTCCACGCCAACTCTCTTCAGAAGACCCATCAGAGCGCACTGCAGGTGCAGCAGAAGGCCGAGATCATGTTACAGGCCGGACACTTCGACCCTGAGGCCATCCGCAGCTGTGCTGAGAAGGTGGCAGTACACTGGCAGCAGCTCATGCTGAAGATGGAGGACAGACTCAAGCTGGTCAACGCCTCCGTGGCCTTCTACAAGACATCAGAACAGGTGATGAGAAACACACACACATATCAGCTGATCCTCCTGGCTTCTGCATCACTTCACCATGGCTGATACAACCCTAGAAGACGTACAGTACTACAAAAGACAGCCAGGCGTCCCAAGATTAGTTTCAGTGGCACATTACCAATGTGAAAAAGTGTGTGCTTTATTGTGTTGAATGCGCACTTGTAGTGTACTTCAAGCTAACTGCATACTAAAGTAACTAATTATTACAATAAACGGCAAAATGAAATATAAATTTGCACACTACAGCAAAATATAGAAATAACTGACTTAAAAAAAAATTTTAGCTGGTGAAAATACTAGTGTTCTAATAATTTTGGCCACCACTGTAAATCTTAATCATTATCATTACATAATATGTAATATAAGTAATGTAAGTATGTCATGTAATTATATTTAAATACATGGTATGCAAGTTTAGTCACAATAGATTTGTCAGACTGTGTTCCCGTGTCTTGTGTTTTGTTCCCCACATGCTCCATGTCCTGGTTTTCCCTTGTGTTTCCTTAGGCCCATATTTGGTTATTCCTGTTCCTGTCCTTATTGTGTTGATTTGACTCCAGATGTGTCCTGTTCATCTCCTCGTTATGTTCTGTTCTGATTATTTAAGCCCTGTGTCTTTCCATGTCCTGCGTCTGGTATTGTCAGTGGTGTACTGTGGGGTTTCAGTCAGGGGCTTCAGTAAGCAACTGTAAACTACATACATCTTACACATCTCTGTTACAGCTAACACAGCCATATGCATATAATGCATATAATGCATATATTAGGCCGCACACAGGCTCTCAACAGCAATGACAGCTGATTGAAAGCCAATACACGGGTCACTCTAAAATGACGACGTCCCCACAGCAGCAAATCTGTACAAATGCTGGACACACACACCACAGTATTATCAACGCACCATGTACAAAAACAATGTGCATGATACAATACTTGTCAAATAATAAAGCACTCACCTGCCACTTGTAAATAAAGTCTGTGCATATGTCATTCCATGTCCCTTTACTCGCATTAAAAAGTAAACACGGCCAACAAAATAACTTGTTGTGGTCGGTGCTAGCTGTTGGCCACTCAAAGCACTCATAGTTGCAATCTTTGAAATGGTGGACAAAACCTTTGCTGGCCTTTGTTAGTGAATAGTGTTGGATATTGTGAGGCGCGAGGACGCGCCTTCCGGGAGGGGGGAGTAATGTCAGACTGTGTTCCCATGTCTTGTGTTTTGTTCCCCACATGCTCCGTGTCCTGGTTTTCCCTTGTGTTTCCTTAGTCCCATATTTGGTTCTTCCTGTTCCTGTCCTTATTGTGTTGATTTGATTCCAGATGTGTCCCGTTCATATCCTCGTTATGTTCTGATTATTTAAGCCCCATGTCTTTCCATGTCCCGCGTCTGGTATTATTCGTCCATGTGCTATGTGTGTGTCTGCCTGCCCTGTGTTTCCCCAAATCAGAAGATTAAAGACTGTGTTTTTGAGTTTACTCCTGTGTCTCCTCGTTCCTCCACAGTAGCTGAATCATGATAAGATTATTTTAGCTTTATGCATTTTAAATTATTATTCATACCTTTTGGCCTTTAATCATTCTCGAAAGACAATGCAATTATAGAATGTCGATACACTGAAGTCCTACTAAAGTGGGTCCACTAAAGTGACCATTTCAGTAAAGTTTAACTTATTCCATTTAACAAATTTTAGCTATAATACATTTTAATTTAATTGTAAATAACATGCAATTAAGGGCCAGTTTTACTAAACAGGGCAAATTAGCATGAGAGCGCAATTCCAAAAGAGCGCAGATGGGCGTGGACATTTTTGCGGGTGATTTACTAACAACACAGACACAACATCTCATTTACATATCGACCAAGGAAATATGCCAAGCACAGTGCAAATTAGCATAGTTGCGAATAAACAACAAAGAAATAAATAAGCAAGCCACAGTACGTTGAAAAGAACCGGAGGCCAAACAATTAAGGTTTGCTAGAAGTTTTGATAGAGCTGGTATTGCGTGACTCCTAGTTGAGGGTTCCAAGTCGTCTTTTATTTCCTGAAGCAAATTAAAAATAACATGGCTTGGCAAATGATATGTTTGGATAATGTGTTCTTTTCGCTTTCTAAATAAACTAATACTTGTGAAAAAATCCCCTCCCTTCTACCACGCGCTCTCTGTTCTCTGCCGTGCCTCCTCTTAACAGCAATAATTGATTGCAGCCATTTCAAGCGCAAAATAGTTTAAGACATGCTGTTTTTGGGGCGTTAAATAATGGCGCAAATATCAGTAATTTGATGAGCGCAAACGTTAGTAAAACGTGATTCATTTGAATACTCTCCTCACATAACTTTTGCGTCTGAAAGGGAAACTCCTAGAAATGCATATTCAATAAGGTCAGGTGCAAAAATGACTGGGTCCATGCCTTTTCAGTGCTAATTCTTCACTGTGTGTATTTAGTAAAACCTGACAGTACTATTTTAACGCCAAAAGACATTTTCGCTGCCACAAGCTGTTAGTAAAACTGACCCTAAGTGTCCAAAAACTTTACATTCAGCTTGTACTTAAGTATATTCCTTTGAAGTATATTATTTCATACTAAGTACTCTTTTTAAAAGTATGCTAAAGTGTACTTATTTTCACATTTTGCTAGCAAATAAATGTTGATTATGAGATGCAAAGTGGTCTTCTTCAAGGGGACACTTGATGGTTCAAAAACTCTTCCACTGAGCAAGGAATAATTTCATAATTTATTTATAAAAGATAAACTTAAATTTTGGTAACACTTTATTTTAAAGTGTTATGTTTCATGTACTTACTATTATAATAACACTTAAATATGCATAACTGCATGCAAGTAACCCTAAGCCAAACCCTAACCATACAGTAAGTATGTTACTATTAATTAATATTACTCAGTACTTAAATATATAATTACACTGTAACAAGGACACCTTAAAATAAAGTGCAACCTAAAATTTTAAATGATATTATTTAAAATAATTATGCAATTTTAAATAAAATAACTAAATATACAGTAAATACACTAAATTATATAATTAAATTATTTATATCCATAATATCTAACCAGCTAGTGACAGCTAGTTCCAGAGCCCTGCGTCATGCTAAATGTCATGCGAATGGCTTATTCACAGGTGTGCAGCGTGCTGGAGAGTCTGGAGCAGGAGTACCGCAGAGATGAGGACTGGTGTGGAGCTCATGATAAACTGGGATCTTCAGCAGAGATGGATCATGTGCTGCCGCTCATCAGCAAACACCTGGAGCAGAAAGAGGCTTTTCTCAAGGTCACCACTGAACTGAACTGATCTCTCAAACTCTCTATCCGTATCAGTCAGCACAAAGTTACCAACGTCATAATAACAATCACAAAAGAGTCTCCTGCATCCTCCTGTTGAAAAACCCAGCATATGCTGGTTAGGTATGTTTTGATGCATGGCTGCTGGTTTGAGCTGGTTCTTAGCTGGTCATGTGAATAGTTGCTTAGGACCAGCTCAAACCAGCAGCCATGCATCAAAACATACCTAACCAGCATTTGCTGGTTTTTCAACAGGGCTTACAGAAGAGCAGGGACAATTTGTATCTTTATGCAAAATTAATATCAAGAACATTTAGATCCGAGGATCTCTAATTTAGATCTTTAAGAAATAAATCCAGCTCAGGCATTGGACTGTGTGTATGTGAGGCTCTAGTTTTGGATCTGTAAAGTCTGCTGTGTTCCTCAGGCATGTACTCTGGCCAGGCGAAATGCTGAGGTTTTTCTGAAATACATCCATCGGAATAATGTCAGTGCTCAGGGATCATCCAGCAACCCCCGCGGTCCCGAGCAACAGGTCAAAGGTCAGAGCTTCAAAGCTGATTATGTCACAATCTGATAAATATGTGTCCATCTTTTCATATTCTCTTTATTTTTTAGCTTAGAATTCTTCATTCTTGATTTACCCAGACATTCATTTATTCATGTTAATCATTTGTCGTGTGTGTTGTGTTGCGTTTGTACAGCCATCCTGAATGAACTGCTACAGAGAGAAAACAGAGTTCTGCATTTCTGGACCATGAAGAAGCGGCGTCTGGATCAGTGTCAGCAGTATGTGGTGTTTGAACGCAGCGCCAAACAGGTGAAAACACTGAACTACACTGCACTGCACTGTTTGTGTGTGTGTGTGTGTGTGTGTGTGTGTGTGCGCGTGCGCGTGCGTGTGCGTGTGCGGTGTGTGGTGTGTTTGTGTGTGTGTGTGTGTGTGTGTGTGCGATGTGTGTGTGTGTGTGTGTTTGCAGACTCTAGTAACTGCACTTTTTTTAGTTTGTGTATTTATCTTCATCTGCATGAATGAGTGTGTTGCACTTTTGTGAAGACACACAGAAGACACATTCTTGACTTCTGTCTGCAATGATTTTGAATAATTGGTCACATGTGTTAGACAGCATTGTACGGAGTTGTATTTCTTTGGCATGTACAACCAATGCTGTGAGACGCAAAGTGACACACTGTGTCAAATGAAGTAGTTCGGTTTTAAAAACATGCATTGAGACCTTCAATATTTTGTTGCAATTCGTCTAGCGGTTTGTAAATGGTTTCCTGTTTATTATTATTTCCTATTTAAGATATTAAATAAGATACAGTAATTATTTAGCTTCTTAAGATATTTCATATCTTATATAAATAATTAATTTAAAAAAACAACGTTGAGATTTATAAAAAAAAATAATAATTAAACAATAGGTTAGATTGGTACGGAAGAGGATTAGGGACAAGCAATAATAAAAAAATTAAATCATCTCGAGATTAAAGTCATTATAATATGATATTAATATGAGAATAAACTCATTTAATTACGAGAAAAAAATCATTACGTTTCGAGAAAAAAGTCTCGTAATTTAACAAGTTTATTCTCAACATTTCATTTCGAATTTTTTCTCGAAATTTACCGAGTTTTTTTTTTTTCTTTAAATTGTTTATCTCAACATTTTATTTAGACTTTTTTCTTGGAATTTTACCACGTTTTTCTCGAAATTGAATGACTTTTTTATCGTAATTTAACGAGTTTATTCTCAAAATTTTATTTCGACTTTTTTTCTCGAAATGTAACAATTTTAATCTCGAGATGGTTTAATTTTTTTTATTATTGTTTATCCCAATCCGTAGATTGGTACTAAAGGAAATGTTCATATTTGTACGCAGATGATCTTTTGTGTTACAACCTTCCCCAGTCACACCATAAAGTCATCTGAGTCTACTCATAACTCAATAATATGAAACAATAATATATATATATATATATATATATAAACCTTAAGCTCTATGGAAGATATTTGGAAGAATAAAGGTAAAATCCTGGCAGATATAGTTCCTTTACATTACATTCAAATGATTTGTTCACTTTATTCTAATAGAACATTCTTCATTGGGTGTTTTTGCTTCGCTGAAGAATGTTTGGTGTGTGTGAATCCCAGACCTCTCAGGACACTTGAGCTGCACAGACTGATCTGTGTGTTGATTGGGATCATCTGATGGAGTCTGTCTGTCTCTGTGTCAGGCGTTAGAGTGGATCGAGGAGGCAGGAGAGGTGTATCTCGCCTCTCACACGTCCCCTGGAGACTCAGTGGAGAAAACTCAGGAGCTGCTCAAAGAATATGAAGAAGTCCGCGTCTCTGCCAAGGTACAGAGACACAAACCCTTCCCCCTCACCTCTTCCTCTTGCTTTTCATGTTCGTCTCTAATGTGTGACACGTACTGCCACTTGAACTCTTCGAACAAGTCATTCTCTCTGAGGGACTTTTAAAAGATTGTCACTTTGCACGACATGACGCGTGTTGAGCATAAATGATCAAACCACAGGCTCACACACATGATGTTCATGTGTGACGCAGCAAACTAAAGAGAAGGTGAAGATGTTGATCCAGCTGGCAGATAATTTTGTGGAGAAGGGCCACACGCACGTCACCGAGCTGAAGAAGTGGGTGACGGCAGTGGACAAGCGCTACAGAGATTTCTCCCTGCGCATGGGCAAATACCGCTGCAGTCTGGAGACCGCTCTGGGCATCAGCTCTGAGGTACTGCACATAACCAGCAATAATAATAATAACAATTCATTCGTTCGTTCATTCGCATTTTATTTGTAGCCCCTTAACCTGCACTGTATCGCTGATAGGAAATTGCTTGTTTTATTAATTAATTAATCATTTAATTTTTTATAAACTATATACCTACTTTTATACCTAAACTGTACATCAGTACTTTATAGCAGAAGTAAAAGTAAAAAGCATAAGGAAGCAAGTTTTTAGGCAAGGATTATTGTTATATTTTAGCATCTCTGTCTGTGATCAGATAATTTTAAGCTGCTAAACTCTGGGAAAGTTTTTATTTAAAATGTATTATAACAAATATATATATATAATTTATTATTTTATTATTTATTTTATTATATATACAAATTCTAATCCAGATTTTGATTTTCAAAGATTTATTATAAAATGTTATAATTTTTTTCCCAAAATGCAATAAATCCATGACACTTTTTTTTTTTTTTTCAAAATGCAATAAATCCATTGAATCAATATAAAAGTTATTTTTCATATTAAAACTGTTGAAAATACACAACATGAGTTAATCCACATATGACAGCCTCTGATCTTGGTCAAAACTAATCTTATATACAGGCACTGGACTAAAAATGCATTCAATCAGTCATAGCTCCCAAAATGAATTCAACAGGTCATCTTGTTAATGCTATAAATTAATTAAAGCAATAAAAGAAAATTTAATCATGAACAAGAACATGAACAACAATATCACATTAAACCACAGCAATTCCAAAATTACATTTCCCTTACATTCAACTTCCAAAAGAGCATTACATTCATTTAGTTGACTAGTGCTATACACTGTATTAACAAAAACATAAATGGCATTAATAAAAACACTTACACTGACAAGCTATGCAATATCGCGTTCA